TCAACGTTTATTTATTTTTGGGACAGAGAGAGACAGAGCATGAACGGGGGAGGGGCAGAGAGAGAGGGAGACACAGAATCGGAAACAGGCTCCAGGCTCTGAGCCATCAGCCCAGAGCCCGACGCGGGGCTCGAACTCCCGGACCGCGAGATCGTGACCTGGCTGAAGTCAGACGCTTAACCGACTGCGCCACCCAGGCGCCCCTAGGTATTTATTTTTAGAGAAATGGTGGGGAGGGGCAGAGTGAGGGTGAGAGAGAATCCTAATTAAGCTCCACTCTTTGAGCACAGAGCCATATGCAGGGCTCGATCCCACAGACTGTGAGATCATGCGTTACCTGAGCTGAAATCAAGAGTCTGACACTTAACCGACTGAGCCACCCAGGCATCCCCATCTTGTAGTTTTTGATGAAAACTGGACATTTTAGATATTATTATAGCAATGCTGGATACTAATTCCACCCACCTTTTGCTCATTTAGTGATTTGGCTTGACTATTAGAAATAGATGTTATAGTCTATTTCTCTGCTATTGATAGCCTCTGGTGTTGCTCCTTAAAGGAGGAAGCCTTGATTGTGGATAAGTGTCCCTGACAACCAGGAATGACTGGTGTTTCGGCTGACTTCTCTTTGACTCTTTCCTTCATCTTCCAGCTAAGCATCTGGCTGGTCTGCTTCTATTGGTATCATACCCAGCTGTTAGCCTCCATTAATTACTAGCTGATTGCTCTGTTGCTTTCACCAACCCTCTGGGACATTAATTGCTGCACATTCTGATCAAGTCAAAGTCAGTCCCCTTTGCAGGGACCTCTTTGGCAGTCTTTGAGGTTTGCTCCAATCCCATGAAGTTTCTTAATGGTCTCCTTACCTGGTTCTGTTAAACATACAGCTAGTCTATTGTTTGTTGGTACTATTATCGTAGAACTTCCAGCTGCCTCCTAATTGCTCACCCCAAAGATCTCCATTGTTTTCCAGAAATACTTAGGCATGAACTCCCCACACTTTGTTCCAAATTCAGTCAGTCCCTCCAGGCAGCACTCTGGAGCTCTCTATTTTACAGTCTCTCCCCATGAGCAAAACTTCTGTATTGCTGCTAAGACCTAGGGGTGGGAACAGTGGCCTGCCTGTCTTGTGGTGACACCCCTGCTCTACAAGTGAAGTGCTGGGTAGGGACTGCAGTTCCTGGTCTTCTCAGCACCTTCCTCATAGCAGTAGAACTTATTTTTAATGCCTTGGTTCTTGCTCCTTCATTACACGTTATCTTAGGTATTCTTTAATCATTGTCCTCACAAGAATGTCTACTGATGGTTCTAGGTACATGTTTAGATGTCCCCACAGATATATGCTAGACATAGCACATATTCACTGAATGCTTCTTGACAAGTTTTATTGCATTCTGACAAGTTAATTAAAAAATGCTTTTATTGATTTGCTTCAGAGTGAATTAAAACAGTGCTTCTCAAACTAGAAGGTGCAAACCAACCAACCACCTGGGGATCTTGTTAAAATGCAGATTCTGATTGGGTAGGCCTAAGGGTCTTCATTTTTACCCACTTCCCAGGTGATGTACTTTGTGAAGCAAGGAATTAAAAGACAATGCTAGGCTAGGAAGATTCAACATTATAAAAATGTTAGCTCTGTTTGAATTGATCTGTGAAATCATGGTATTCCAATTAAAATAACAAGGAGATTTTTTTATTTTTATTATTTAAAAAAATTTTTAACATTTATTTATTATTGAGAGACAGAGAGAGACAGAGCATGAGCATGGGAGGGGCAGAGAGAGGAGGAGACACAGAGCCTGTGTCAGCACAGAGCCTGATGTGGGGCTCGAACTCACAAACCATGAGATCATGACCTGAGCCGAAGTTGGATGCTTAACTGACTCAGCCACTCAGGTGCCCCAAGGAGATTTTTTTTTAAAGGACTTAAATAAATTGGCTCCAAAATTTTGGAAGATTAAATAAGAATATCCCCCAAATTCTTAAGTAAATGAGTGGACTAGCCCTACCATATACTGAAACATGATATGAAATTACAGTATTAAAAACAAGCTCATGAATAAACTAGAAGTTCAAAGAAAAATATAAGTCTATGATGAGCCCCATTACAGATCACATATATGTCATATATATTATCAAGTATCTGATAAAGTTTTTATATGATGCATCTAGTTTATGATAAAGATATCTTCACAGTGAGGCACAACCAGATTACTCAATAAATGATTTGGGATGGTGAGGTAGCCATTTAGGAAAAAACAAAAGTTATGGTGAAATTAATCCAGATGTATCAGAGATTTAAGTATAAATGATAAAAACATTAAAAGTCCTAAACTTAACAGTGGGAACGCTTTTTATTATACTCTTGGAATTGGGAGGATTTTTGAGGTATAAGACCCAGAAACATAAAATCAATAAAGTCAGTTACATAAAAATGAAGTTTTTCCAGTGTAACAAAAACCATCATATGCAAAGCCAAAAAATAAATAACTAGAAAAATGTGTTGACTTATATCACAGGGAGTTAATTTTCTTAAAACTTAAATATCTTTTACAAATTAAGAAAACTCTAACAAAAAAAATTTAAAAAATGGACAAAAGATTTAAACAGTTTACAGAAAAGCAAAAATCTTATATGAAAGATGTTCTACCTCACTCATAAGGAATGCAAAATAAAGCCATAATGAGATACCATTTCCCCTCTCCTAGATTAACAAAGATAAAAAATTCGGTAAGACTGTGTTGAGAGAATGGAGAAAACACAGGCAGTCTCAAACACTGCTGCAGAGGCAAAATTGGCTTGATTGTTCTAGAAGGCGATTTAGCACTCTTTACCAAACATACACATATGTTCATGGCAGGGCTTCTCCACCTGGACACCACTGATATTTTAGATCAGATAATTCCTTCTGGAGGCTGTCCTATGCCCTGTAAGGTGTTTAGTGCATATCTGGCCTCTACCTACTAGGTGTCAGTAGCATTTCCTAAGTTGTGACAACCAGGAATACATCCAGACATTGCCAAATGTCTCCTGGGGGCAAAATTGCCACCTCGGAACAGACAATTTCACTTTCAGTAGTTCATCCTACTGATGTACTTGTGTATTTAGAGTATGACCATACCGGGAAGATTAGTAATCACAGGATTGTTTATGGTAACAGCAAGAGATCGAGGAACTAAGTGACTTGTTTGTGAGGGCTTCTATACAATGGAAAATGATGCAGCTGTTAAAAAGAATGAGTCAGTTTTTTCTGCGCCGATGCAGAAAGGTCTTCAATATTTACTAAGTGAAATAAAGTTGGAGGAGTAAAAGTGAATAGCATTGGCTATTCTTTGTGCAAAAAAGAGAGATATATATGTTTATATGAATGTAGATCTCTAGAAGAATGCACAAAACCTAAAAATAGTGCATACTTCTGGGAAGAGAACTATGTGGCCAGGGAGAGGGTAGGACGGGAGATGGTCACTCTGTATTTTTATACCATTTGAATTAAGTGTATTACCTATTCAAAACAATTGTTAAAACAATAAAAGAACATTGCTGATTCAAAGAATTCACTCAATTAAAAGAAAAACACTAGGGGCGCCTGGGTGGCTCAGTCGGTTGAGCTTCCGACTTTGGCTCAGGTCATGATCTCACGGTCTGTGAGTTCGAGCCCCGTGTCGGGCTCTGTGCTGACAGCTCAGAGCCTGGAGCCTGCTTCAGATTCTGTGTCTCTCTCTCTCTCTCTCTGACCCTCCCCCGTTCATGCTCTGTCCCTCTCTGTCTCAAAAATAAACATTAAAAAAAAAAAAAAGAAAAACACTAGTTAATTTTACTGTATGATAATTTCAAAAATAAAATTTAAGGGGTACCTGGGTGACTCGGTTGGTTAGGTGTCCGACTTCTCATGGTGATGGTCTCACAGTTTGTGAATTCGAGCCCCACGTTGGGCTCTGTGCTGACAGCTCAGAACCTGGAGCCTGCTTCGGATTCTGTGTCTCCCTCTCTCTCTGCCCCTCTCCCGTTCACACTCTGTCTCTCTCTCAAAAATAAACAAACATTAAAAAAAATAAAATTTAAATAGAGATTCCTCAAAAAATTGAGTAACTATTGATCCAGCAGTTCTTCTTCTGGGTATATAACCAGTATAATTGGAAGCATGAACTTGAACAGATGCTTGGCTACCCATGTTCATAGCAGCATTGTCCATGATAGCCCACGGGTGGAAGCCACCCAAAAGTTCATGGACAGATGAATGGAGAAGCAAAATGTAGTGTATACATACAATGGAACATAATTCAGCCTTAAATGGGAGGGAAATTCTGCATATACTACAACATGGATTAACACTGAAGATATTGTACTAAGTGAAAGAAGCCAGTCACAAAAGGACAAATGTTGTGTGATTGCCCTTATATGTGATACCTTATTTGATTACCTGAGTAATCAAATTCATAGAGACAGAAAGTAGACTGGCAGTTGCCGGGGCTTGGGGGAAGTAGTCATGGGGAGTCATCATTTCATGAGTACAGAGGTTTAATTTTGCAAGATGAAAAAAGTTCTGGAGACAGATGGTGGTGAAGCTCATACAACAGTGTGAATGTACTGAATGCCACAGAACTGCACACTTAAAAATGGTTAAAATGGGCAACTTTATGTTATGTATATTTTACAGAAAGGAGAGTTGAGACTGATCAAATCAAAGTGTACTTAAATACATAGTTTTCCCCCCAAAAACCCACCAAACCTAAAAATAAAAACATATTCCTTAATGAAGGAAGAAAGGCAGGGAAAAAACACTGTTTTAGACTGCACTTAGTGTTTCTTAACTAGATGAAAAACATCACCAGTTATAAAAAATAATAAGAATAACCAGAATCAGAATCTCACAATTTTCCCCACTCCTTTGAAAATTTCAACATTATTTTGAGAACTACATTGAAACTGGGGAGAGATGCCAGGGTCAGTAAGCCAGAACTTCCAGGGATCCCTGGTTTAATTGGTCCTTCCCAACCCAGGACCGGGCCAAGGCTGAGGCCGTGAACAAGAGACTCCGCAGACAGCTGGCTGAGTTCCAAGTGCCGCAGGTGATGGTGTACGTGCGGGAGAAGATCCTAACTGGGGACCTGGAGAAGACCATCAAGATGTGGGAAAGGAAAGTGGAGATTGCAGAGGTAAGTCTCCGAGAACCCCAAGACAGGCAGCCTTTCATGTCCTTCACGTTTTTGTCAAGGGTTTCATTTTTCAAGCTAAGAGTACAGGTGTTTGGACAGGTGATGTCTGTGAGAGATCTCAGCAGTCACTTAAGTCTCTAAGGGAAATGAAGGATGCCCTTTCCTTTTGGTAAGTTCCCTTTTCAGTGTTAGGGACAGAAAGAGACTCTGTAGTAATATTGTTTTTAGTTGCTTGTTTTCTTAATGAATTCCGGAAGCTTCTGAATCCCTTCCCCCACCATTGGTGATGTAGTGATTGCTACTTTATACATGGAGAAGCCAGTTTTTTAAAAAAAATGAGATAATGGATTTTTAATATTACTCAGAACCCGATTCCATGCATTTACATAGTTGCCCTGGCTCTTTGTTTTGAGAACCCCGCAGCCTTTTCCTGAGATAGGTGTGCTCAGAGCACCCTTGCTCCTGGTAAGCGCCAGGGAGAAATGGGAAACAAAATGCAAAACAAAGTGTGAAAAAAGAAAGCCCCAGGTCTGCCACAGGCCCACTTGCAGACTGAGAACACTTGAGACATCAGTAGAGTAGCTTAAAAACCCGGTCAGGTCACTTGGGAAGCCTGGCGTTTTCACATCCAGACCCAGGCTCCGGTTCCCACAGTACTTTGTCCTGCCTTTCCCGTGGTCACTTGGTGGCAGAGGGTGAATTAGGATCCAAACTTGGGCCTTTCAGATTTGGAGCCGAGAAGTAGCAGAGAAGCACGGCAGGAACCTGCAGCTTCTGACTTCACTAAACAGAAACCAGCTCTTTAGAAGATTCTTCCAGACTGGCTGACTCTTCCACACAGAGTCACCTGCCTCACCACAGGGCTGGATGCAGGTTGCGTTCTGAAAAATCACAATTGCTTTTTCCCAAGTGACCTTCTCCCCTCACCCTCTTTTTCCTCTTTGCAGATGACCTTAAAAGGCTACCGCAAGGCTTGGAATAAAATGAAAACCACCAATGAGCATTTGCAGGCAATTTGCCCCCCTGGGAAGTAGCCAGAGGGAGGCCACAGCTGCAGACAAGAGTGATCCATTAAAGTAATCAGCTCCTTTCCAGTCAAGGGGTCCTCTCACTGTTCCCTGTGCTGCTTGGTGTCCCCGACTCTCCAGCCACGCTGGCAGGCACTCCCCAGGCCACATTTGCCCGTGGGGAGTGTTTTCACAGCCTGGCCCCTGGAACGGTTAACACTGAAAGAACCACAGGGCACTCTAATGGTTTGGCACTTGTTAGCCCACATTTAGTTTACAAGCACAAATGAAAGTGACCTTCCCGCATGTGGGAGTGGGACAGAGGAGGGAGAGCCAGCCCAGTGTGCACCCTGGGCCTGTCCATGGCAGCCCAGGTGTGCAGCTAGCAAAAACAATCACCATTAAACAGACAGCAAAACAGAATGTGACTGCCCAGCACTCAGCATTCTGAGCTTACTCCTCAGTTGGGAGGGTTAGCTCCTAGACTAGATACCATTGCAAAAGAAAACAAGCACAAAGAAAAACAAGGTAATTCTTGGGGCTGATGTAACCTGTTCTGACCTGAAATAGGCCCTCTACCCTCCCCAGAGTCCCCGCCATAATAATCATAGTACATGGGTTGTATGTCCACAACAGAAGTCCTGCCTAATTCCCTTAACCCTTTCCTCCCAATGTCTGGGCTCTTTCTAGAGCTGTTTGCTGGCAATGAATATACGTCGGCCTTTTTTTCTCCTTGCACGTGTGCTGGGGACCATCCACCTTGGCCCAGCCTGGAATGTTTTCTCTGTGTAATGGTGAAATGTTCTTTGTAGCTGAGTGAAGGCAGCAAATTCTCCCAGTGGTGGAAGGCAGACAGCGGATGGCTGGTTTTCTTAGTCTTGGACATAATCCAGTCGCCATAGTCTTCCACCTTGAGGTACAGTAAAAAGCCAGGGCATTTCTCACCCCCATGGGACAAGACTCCTCTCAGCACCCACAGATTCTGTTGCTGTAGCTGGCACATCATGGGGTTTCCAGGGTCCCCCTGTGACAAAGGACAGAAGGCTTCAGGTCTAAGAAAACTCATTTTCTTTTTAAATATATCCTTGTGCAATTTACCGTTTGTTCTAGAAATGTTTTATATTGGTTCTCACTTGAGAGGGGGTAAATTATAGGATACTATTTCCGATCTAGGCAGCCACCGCCACGAATTCCAACAAGATGGATTTTCCTTTTATCGTGCAGAGTATTTGCAGGCTTCTGCCATTTGCCTTTAGCTTCCTGGTTCGCATTTCATTTTCATGCCCCTTTGACTAAATCCTCACTCTCTCTTGGTTCCTCATTCCTCCAGCGTTGACCAGGCTGGGTTCCCGGCTTTTCCACCTGGCAGCTGCCTGGCAGCACACCTGCTCACCAGCCCTGCCCGTGCTCTCAGCCTTCCTCTGGGACTCAGGGATTCTACCACACAGACCTTACCTCCTTTTAAGGGAGTGATGAGAAGCTTGGCACGCTTACCTAGATGTGTGACCCCGGAGAGTCACCTAGTTCTCTCTGAGTAAAGTGCAGAACCCTAACAGTGCCTGGCACACAGTACACACTCAAACAATTAGCTACTATTATCCTGGTAATAGAAAAGGCCATCATTTTATATGAAAAGCTGAGAAATATGAGAAGAGCAATAAGGCAACTACTAGGTATAATTTACCTTAACTGCCCCAGCCCCAAGCCTCCTCTTAAGGTAATACCTGACCCCACTCCAAACCCGTGGTCCATCTTGCCCCAAGAAGGGTTGTCATTCAAAGGCTGACCAGCCCCTTCGGCCCACGTGGCCTGCCTATGCAGAAGGACTGGGCCAGCACATGGTACTCTTGCTGCCCTGTGCTGCCATGGAGCAGAGGGCAGAGATTTCATCCCAAGGGCTGGCTGGCTCTGCTACGACTGTTGAATGGGCTCACATCTGCACCCTATCATGTCTGCCTGGGGCAGAGACGCTGTCCAGCCAAGCATGGCATGGTCTTCCCTTCTGTCACCAGTTCCAACCCCAATTTGCTTTAACTGTGGTTCCATAGCTGGAGGAAGAAAAACAGTGCAATTTAGGACAAGTAGTTTGATGAATGAATGATTGTATGGAGACCTCCCTGGCTATTGCGTGGTTTTGCAAGTTGCCACTCTGCCCAGGTGTAGAATACATGGCTTTTCCTCTTCCTCATAACCTGTGGGGCCCAACTTCTGAAGCCCAAGCAGCTGAGAGAAGAAGTACCAGGTGCTCCTCTGGAGCAGCCCCACCTCATCTCCTAGGGGAGCAGCCCCAGCTTAAAGGGGCTCTTTTATTGTGTGATCCTTAACCTTAACATTGAACAAAAGCCCTGACAGTCGTGGGGAAAGGAGGGGGGGTGGGTTCAGAGTGATTCTGCTTTTGTTGGGTTTCTGGGGACCCACTAGGCAGATATTGGACTTGGGTAGTTTATTCTATATATCTGAAATATGGCTTTGAGGACTTCTGGACACTAGAACACATGTCCGAGAGAAGAAAGCATCCTAGGTAGACAAGTCACCATTTATTTGTCTGAGCCAGTTTGCTAGCACAGTTCAAAAACAAAGGACTGACTGCAGGTGTGCTACAGGTAAAAACCAGTCTAAACTTTGCAGGTAGATTTGAAGAGGTGATCATTTAGAGTAGAAGCAGCTTACCATATCCCATTGAATCTAAGATGCTCTTGAAAAATTATTATCTTTTGGGGCACCTGGGTGGCTCAGTTGGTTAAGCCTCCAACTCTTGATTTCGGCTCAGGTTATGATCTCACAGTTCGTGGGATCTAGCCCCCACTTCTGTGCTGTCAGCACGGAGCCTGCTCAGGATTCTGTCTCCCTGTCTCTCTGTCCCTCCCTCGCTCACACTCTCCCTCTCTCAAAATAAATAAACTTAAAAAAATTAACATCTTTGGAATGATATGTGTCTTTTAATTGGTTGATATCAGAGTTTAACTGGCAGCATTTTCTCTCCCTTGGTATTCCATACAATAATGGCACATTCCACAACTGATAGCATCTTAGATTTGATGAAATATGGTGCTGGATTGAGGGAATACCTCAATTATCTAACTTAAAAAGTTGTTAGTCTTCCACCTGCTAGAGTCCAGTACAAAGTAGACACTCAATAAATGTTGGATCAACTTTGGAAGGGCAAACATTGTATAATGAAAGGCAGCCCTTCGTGCATTTGCAATAAAATTACTTTTAGGAAGAATTGTCCACATATATGTACTCTTCCCCCTTTCTCTAAAATACTTTCCCTAGATCATCTGGGGAAAAAAAATTTCCCCATCTGGGAATGCTGAAAGTTACTTTGAAGGAGAGTAGAAATTAGAAATAGTAGAGTGTAGAAATTTTGGAGTAGAGGAGAGAAACCGCCTGGACACCTGGTAGACCTGGGTTCTCATCCTTATTATAACATTTATTAACTGTGTGATCCCTGTAAGCCCCACCTTCTCTGGTGTGGATATGAGGGAGCCTGGACCAGGGACTTGTCAATTCCACACATTTTGCTGAGGTAGTAGGATAGCCACATCTGTACAGCCCTCATCCGATTGGAGGGCAGGGCTTCTTACAGAAAAACAAAAAACAAATCAATAACTGATGAGCAATAGCATCAGAGTCTAGATTCCATAGAAGCTGAATACAGTGACCCCACCCTGTAGACATGCTCAAAGTATACATGGTTTGACCCCACCCTGTAGACATGCTCAAAGTATACATGGTTTGGACTCACACTTGCAAACTTTTAGCCAGTGAAAAACCATCTATGACTTAGACATGCTTAATCATATCACATTGAAAATGGTGACTGTTTAGTCCACTCGGTAGATTTTTATTGAATATCTGCTATCTGACAAGTACCGTTCACCCCGGAGACAGCCATGGATCCCAAGTGACAGTCCCTGCCAGTCCCTCAAGGAGTTCACTGTGCAATGAGGGAGAGTCCCGAGATTCCCTTGAAGTGACCACTGCTTACTCTCAGCCTTTAGCTTTTAATCCATCATGTTCTTACCAAACAGACAGCATCGGTTTCCTGCTCTATGTGATTGCCACATCCTGTTTTCTTGAGTTTGTGTAAGGGACACATGTTGATGTCTTTCACGGAGATTTTCCTCAGGATACTCATTGTCATGTGATTTCCTGTCTGGACCATGCAACAGAAAGCCAAGAATTATTAATGAGAAGACATTGTCTATGTTAACTACAACTCATGTATCCAGATGGGAATGAGTGGAGAATATTCTGATAAACCCCGTTCTCATAGAAATCAGAAACTGTGTCTGAGTTTTTCTGAACACTACCTTTGTTTTGAACTTGAATGTAAAAATAGAGAACATATTCATCCTTTGTCCACATCTACAGAGAATACATTTCCTTGTTCACTTCCCAAGAATAAAAGAAAAGAAGGATGGCTTGGTCAAGAGGGCAATCAGCTCCTGTTCAGGGAATAATGTCTCCTGATCTCTCCCTTCAGGCTTTGCACTCCCTTCAAGCTGTTTGCTGACTATGTACTTCTAATTTGGGTGTAGAGCTAAAAGAAAAGGGACCAAATGTAAGAATGGCCACAGAAAGGGCAAGCATTGGGAATCTTGACTGATTACATGAGGGTTCCAGCCCAACTCTAGAATCTTGAGCAATGGGAGATATGAAGCTAAACCCTAGAACAGTTCATCCAAGTCACCCTCACTGCTCGCACACACACAGCCTCCTCTAGGAGAAGGAAGGCATTAACTGCAGATGTGGGATTCCATCCTGCCACCCAGCAGTTCTGCAAGGCTGGTGGCATATGCAGCTTTCTGCCAAGGAAGCAGATGGGTCGGACCAGGTTGCTGAACTGCATCGCCGTGTCTGTCTTCAGGAGGGCTATGTTATTGTTCATGGTCTCATTATCAAAATCCTCATGGATGATGATGGTGTTGACCGGATACTCTTCATGAGCAATCACTTTGGCATCCATCTTAGCTATACCAACTATGACAATGATGTCCTTCCTAGAGAAAAAGCAAGGGAAT